CACACACACACACACACCAATGTGTATTATTTTAGTGTGCCAGGACACATGCGTATGGTGGGCCAGTGGTTAGGCCCTCGGACTCGCAACCGCAAGACCGTAGGTTCGAATCCTGTCAGGGGTGCGACGTTTTGTCTTAGGGAAAGGCACTTTACTCGAATTTTCCTCACTTCGCCCAGATGGAAATGGGCACTTGGCTGTAGGCAGCGAAAGATTGTGTCAGTCTGTTTGTGTTTGAGGGCTTAAAAGTTAATCAGTTGCATTGTACATGTACATGTACTGCATGCTTCCTGGGATGCTGAGAATGTTTCTGAGTGTAAGCTTAATTGGATCTACTGGTGTAATAAATAATAGGCTAGAGTTTAAAGTTGAAGCGCATAGATAGAACTTGCTGTCGAGCGGGGATACGGCAAAAAATATATTATTATTATTATTATTATTATTATTATTATTATTATTATATGAATTATGTGTTGGGCCTGTGTGAATTAGCGGAGACAATAGGCCATGACCAACCGATCGAAGGTCACACGACAGACATATATTCGCTAGCGTTGCTTCATTTTGGCCTGTATACATGTATGAGAGTACATTAACCTCGGTTATTAGTAGCCCTACATGTACTAGGCTATCTTAGATCGCCTAGGTGTAAGCCTTTGATGTGTGCATTGTAAACGTAGTCAAACAATACGTTGGCGGTGCCTCTCTCTAGCCTGCAATCGACACACGAGCTTTCTCGTATCTCTTTCTCTTGTTTCTCTATCTCGAAACGTTCCTTAAGACTTGTGATGATGTGTGTTACTCGATGAAGGTTGCTAAAGTAGCTACGAGATAAAATAATCCTCAACATTCTGATATTTTTAGAAAGAGGGGCATTTCGGCAGGAAAAAAATGGTGAAATAGTAGACTAGATATAACGCCCCATCGGCACTTGTAGAGGTTATACATGTAGCCTATAAATTTAAGTTTAGTGGCGGGACTTCAGAGATTGTGTGTGTGTTTTTTGTTATTGGTTTTTGAGTTGTTGTTCCCTGGGGGGGGGGGGGGTGGTTACTTAATAAGTGAATTTTAATATTACGAATTTAGATTTCCAGAGCATTCTTAATAATAATAATGTTATTGCATATCTGAGGGAGACAGTAGAAGACATAATATATTGCCTCAATGTATTGTTGTGCACTACGTGAAAATCTGAGACGAAATCGTAGATTCCACTACATGGGTAATGACCAGGAATCAAACCCTGTGGGTCAACAAAGATCCTTTCCAGTTCTTTCAGTTTCAGTATTAGAACTGGCTACAAATCCTCTGATCATAGCAGTTTCGTAATAGATGTGTGTTATTTGAACTCTTCCGGGGTATGTATGCGTAGGGAATTCCTTCCATAGGCTGCAAATGAGTTCCACGTTAACGTACACATAGAGGATACTAACACACCGAGTTGCTAAATTTCTGTCACACCCATCTTCAAAGTACATTGTACAATACACACTGTAACTCTTTTACTATTCACCATAGTGGAACGAAATGAGGCACACGTGATCTTCTTTCTGTGTACATGACATGAAAGGAATTGACCAATGTCTTTTTTATTCAACTTTATTCACACTAACTTTTGCTAAATCCAAATCAAAGTTTGTTTTGTTTTGCATATGGCTTCTACCTGCTAGATTCACTGCTACAAAACTGTTCATTTCCTGAATTAATGTCCTTACGGTTGCATGGATTCGACTGCCACTCCTCTTGGAAGTTCAGCTTCCAGTTCCTGACAGGTTAACATGAAGTGCGGCCTGTTTCTGATCCGTCGGTCAAGGTCATCTGACAGACGTTCTGTTGGTTTAAGGCTTATCGATCTTGAAAGCCAGTACATACAGAACATTGATTTCATGAGTTTGGAGGGAGTTTTGACTTATCATGATCGCATGGGGTCAGGCGTTGTCTTGTTGGCAAATATTACACCTTGCCGTGCAATGTAGGCCATGAGATGAGAAAGAGGTTTTTCGTCACTATATCTTTGACCTGTGATAGGTTTGCTTTGAATTGTGACCGACCATAATGTGAGCGATGATAAACAGAGATTTCTCACAACACCATCACATGTGTGTCACCAAATCGGTCTATTTGGCGGACTTAGGCTTGGTGAAATCTCTATCCTCGCCATCTAGATCTAATCACTCTTTCTCTTTCACAAAGTGATGAGTTAAAAACGTGTTGAATAGAAAACTACACCGATACCTTTGGAGTAATCGCCAGTGTTTGCTGCGCCCACATTTGGTGATTTCTTCGAATAAACCATGTTAGAAAGGTTCCAAATAAAAGATTATAATCCCGAAATCCATAATTACGTAAACGTCTAATAACGGGTTTCGAACATGGGTGTTGACAATAACCCGGTCCAGGCGTCGAATCTTTGCACTTGGCCGGCCACTTCTTCTAGGCCTGATTTGGACAGCTCCAATAAGCCGACCGAGTATTAAAATGCTTGTTCAAGCGTTGAGTGGGGTTTTTTTCCTGCACACATTCACGTGTCTTTCAACAGCAAAAAGCGCAATTCCATAATTTACCATACACACAGCGCGTTCACGTTCTGTAGTTGTTAGTTTTGCTGTTTTGAAAACAGGTGAAAAAATGACCCAAGGGTTTTTAAAAAACGCAGATTTTCATAGTGTGTATGGTGTATTTAAAGCGTCATTCAAAGCAAACGTTGGGTGCAGGATGCGTTGATTTCAACGTATATCGCGAGCGAGAAAACAACGCCAAAACTTTGCAATGTAAAAAAAATGTCATTGGAAGATAATTCAAAAAGTAAAACAATCAAAATATAAATATCATTTTTGAGTTTGAGTTTGATTTGAGTTTGAGTAAAGAGGAGCACATCGACACAATAACTTTCAATAAGGGTCATTTAGTGCAAGGAAGAAGCGTGATAGGTGGCAGAAACAATATAGGAAACAAAAAGAGGTACATGCAGCTACCACCAGTGGCACCCTTCAACCGCCCACCTTTTTTTTAGTAGACTGTCTGTTTATGTGTAGTAAATATAAGCACATTGCCACAATAATGGTCATTTAGTAGAGGGAACAATTAAGATGGATAGAAACAGCAGAGGGAAAGAAAAGAGATAGGGCCTACTGCTACTAGTGGCACCCTCCATCCATCCGCCTTTTTTCAGTGCCTTTTAACTTTTAGATAAAAACAAAACAAAACCGGTCCGACGTTGTGTCCTTGGGAAAGGCACTACTTCCCACTTGGCTCGGTCCTATCGGAGACGGACGTTAAACTAATACATGTACATGTAGTTCTCGCCATTTAAATAACCTAACAGTGTTGATAGAGGCGTTAAACCCATACCATTCCACCATTTTCACAAAACAAAACAAGCGAAGTAACAACTCTGCTATTGCTATTATAACGATTCATGGACAAGTAAAACTAAAAGGGTCAGGTGGTATCAGGCATCAGGCGTGCTCGGCTTTTTTTTTTTTTTTTCATTACAATGAATTTAATGCTGTTGTCAATGTGACACGTCTTGAAGTTGAAGTGGTCACAATGGCCTTTACCCCCATAGACTCATAGTAGAGATGTTTGTTATTGTCTCCCTCTCATCAAACCCCGCCCATCGGGCACTTGTGCACCAAGTAGATTATTTTGATTATTCTTTCACTTGTAGCGGTGACGCACAGAGGCAGTTTGAGCGTCAGTCCACAACTTCTAAAAGTAAAAGTGGACTGTCATTGCTATCTGTCAGTGAGTGTGAGTCACAGAGGCGATTGGGGTTGTTTTGTTTTTTTTTGTTGTTGTTTTTTTGGGGGGAGGGGGGGTTCTTTACAACGAAGACCCCCC